TCCTAAAGAACGCATTTCTTACTAAGGACCCATCAAAACACATTTTCGTTACTCGCCCGAAAACGCGTCCACTCTTGTTGACGGCACAACACGGAAAGACGGCGCGCAACGCGGCGTCCCGAACAGTGGCGTCAAGTCTGCGATCTGGCGGATAGTTTTGGCGAAATTCGCTCTGATACTACTTGTCCATGATACAACTCACCCCGCTCTCCCCTAATAATGGTGAGGTCACGAAAATGACCTTGACCTCATATGACCTTAAGGAAAAAAATCCGAGATGTACAAGCTGTGAGACTCATAATGAATAGTAGATCCTGCAAGTTTCATTTCCCTGTGACATCTCCTCTGGCAGTGAGGACGTTGCGAAGTTGCGACATCTGAAGACCGTGCAGAGGTTCATTATGACGCCATAGGTCAGTGACCTGACCTGACCCAAAAATGCGGTTGATGTCAAAAGATTCGGCTTGAATCAAAGGTCAGGTTTGCCAAGTTTCAGCTCTCTATCGCCAGCGTGTTCGGAGCTATCGCGAAAAAAACCCTATGGGGGGGGGGCGGCATCCGCCCCCCCCCTCGGCCGGCGAGGGTTTTAACCCTTTATTGTACACTCATATGCCACCGGTGTTCATTTACCGCGGATTTGCTTTGTCTGCATCAAATTGTCCACAGAGAAAAATCGTGCTGAACTTCTGACGTTGAGTATGGGGTAAGACGGGCAACTATGAATCCAATGGGTCTGTAGGATAATTGTGAAAATAGTTTTGTTGCTGTAGGAAAAAAAGAAGCATTTCTAATAAGAATATGTTCGATTCCGATACTCACCGACATGCTAGCAATATTCCTTCGGCGCAGTTTATTCTCGAATAATGAATGTTAACCCTCGCATGTGTAGGGGGGTCGGATGGACCCCCCCCCCATGGTTTTTCGCGAATAACTCGCGTAAAAAGCGGCCGATCGCGACGAAACTTTCAGTACCCTCACATTGATCAATTTTACACCTACCCTGAAAATTTCATGACCCTGACCCTAATGACCTTTGACCTGTGACCTCTTTTCCGAGACCATGTTTGGCCGGAATCGCGATTCTGCGTATATCGGCTCGCATTAGCCGCGCGTTTGCAAGCTTTTCGTGGTTTCAAACGTTCAAACATGTGATTTGATGTTGCTCCCATAGGTACATAAGGGTGGGTGTCAAGGTCACCTGAAGGTCAGGTCAGGTCATTGACCTTTGGTGACCTCGGGCTGAATTCGAATTTAGCAACCAATTGAACATTTACGAAGTAGTTTTGGTGCCTTCGTAACATGTTACGAAGCTGTCAGAGGTGGTTGACACGTACTACGAATACCCGTCACGACGCCTACTGGTTGACCTGACCTGACCTGACCTGACCTAGTCTAAATGCTTAAAGACATCATCTGTGATCAAAACTAACACGATATTCGTGATCAGCACCCCGAAAAACCCCTTAGCAGCCACACTTTACGACTTTCTAACAGGTCCCGATTTTCCCGACTTTGGGTCATTGACCTGACCTGGAAGGTCAACCAATGACCTAGGACCTTAAAATTGGGTATCATCGGCTTCCTCTCGTCACGGGCAACACGCTCGTTTTTTCCGCGAAGCTCTAGCTCGATCAGGGGCCAAACGGCAAGGGGGGGGTCCAACCGACCCCCCCCCCCCTACACATTAGAAGCTGGCAAATGCCGCACACACGATAGGCGTTATCACAAGTGTATTCGCGGCCATTGGGGCGACGCAAGAAAAGAAGAAAACAACTGGCCCCAAGAACTTTAAATTATCAGTTAGCATGCACCTTTTCCTTGATATGTAGAGAATTTACCATTAATTGTTAGAGAAAATTGCATTTAAAATCTTCCACTTATGTTTTTTTCATCGTTTGCACAGTATGTGCTTTTACTAAGCTAGAAACACTAATTAGAAATAGTTCCCGCATCATCAAGAACAATAGGGAAGGCTTGAAGTGAATACAATAATCTAAACGGTTTTGTAAGCCATGTGAAGACACTTCTAAAATTGCCTGTAGAAATATTAAAGGCAAAAGTTCAACTTTTTCACAAGACGGATGGCTATAAACCTATTCAACGTGTGACAACTCAGCCGGTATTTCGTCGCCTACAGCCCAGCTTTCCCTAGTGACCGATAGAGGCGCTGCTATCGATGTCCGCCCGTGCCGCCTAACGATGCGAGGGAAACGGATCTACATGTCTTCTGAACTAGGGCCTATATATGAGCATACGCCTTCTGCACGAATCTCGTACCTACCTATACCTACCTACTGCCATTTCCGAAGAACTTGAGACCAACGAGCGACTGTAGGTATCAATTCGGCTAATCTCGGGCATTTGTTGCGAGCTATGCTGGTCGTTGAAAGAAGCTGGCCGTCTTGCCCTACCCATGTGACCGTCTTACCCCATGGGGTGGGGTAAGACGGGTTTTTGCAAGGTTTTGCAAAAATAGCTGCAGTTTATTTGTTGAATCAGGTCTAAGTCTCATCTTCTGGCAAATGGAAGTAAAATGTCTAAAAAAAGGTTTTCACTCAGTTTTCCGTCTCTATGATGTTTCTAACCGGCCGAAAATTGCTCCAAAGTTAAGGTGCCCGTCTTACCCCACTTTCCCCTAGCCCTCGCCGGCACAGGGGGGAGGAGGTTGATGCAGCTTTGACCCTCGCCGGCACAGTTGCTGCAACCCCCCTAAGGTTTTTCGCGAATAACTCGCGTAAAAAGCGGCCGAACGTGACGAAACTTCCAGTACCCTCGCACTGATTAATTTTACACTTACCCTGCAAATTTCATGACCCTGACCCAAATGACCTTTGACCTGTGACCTCTTTTCCGAGACCATGTTTGGCCGGAATCGCGATTCGGCGTATGTCGGCTCGCATTAGCCGCGCGTTTGTAAGCTTTTCGTGGTTTCAAACGTTCAAACATGTGATTTGATGTTGCTCCCATAGGTACATAAGGGTGGGTGTCAAGGTCACATGAAGGTCAGGTCAGGTCATTGACCTTTGGTGACCTCGGGTGACCTCGGTTCACTTTTTCGAGTTTTACATGTTTCTAGGCCAGTTTTTGGAGCTGAATTCGAATTTAGCAATCATTTGAACATTTACGAAGTAGTTTTGGTGCCTTCGTAACATGTTACGAAGCTGTCAGAGGCGGTTGACACGTATTACGAATACCAGTCACAACCCCTACCGGTTGGCCTGACTTGACCTGACCCGACCTGGTCTAAATGCTTGAAGACATCATCTCTGATCAAAACTAACACGATATATTCGTGATCAGCACCCCGGAAAACCACATACCAGCCACACTTTACGACTTTCTAACAGGTCCCGATTTTCCCGGTTTTCGGGTCATTGACCTGACCTGGAAGGTCACCCGATGACCTAGGACCTTAAAATTGGGTATCATCGGCTTCCGCTCGTGATGGGCAACACGCTCGTTTTTTCCGCGAAGCTCTAGCTCGATCAGGGGCCAAACGCGAGGGGGGTCGTACCAACCCCCCCCCCCTTGTGCCGTCGAAGGACGCAAAATGGCCTGTGCCGGCGAGGGTCTGGGCTAGTGTCACTGTGTCCTGACCCCACATCGTTCTCTGATCCCCAGCTGGCTGGAGAGGGTCGTGACCTCTCGGTGTCGGCTGGACCAGCGCCTCTGACCCCCTCCGAGGGTGACCCGACCGGGGTCATGGCCGCCCCGCTGCCGCACCGCCCTCGCTCCGGGTGGCACTCGGCAAACGACGTCTGCACTGACCGCCTGCTGACGCTCAGAGCCGAGGGCGAGCTCGCCAAGACGGCCGTCCTGCAGAGACTCTCCGAGCTTCAGCGTGCTATAGGCCGTGCTGGAGACGAGCTGGGGGACCTCAGACCTGCCGTCGGGCAGCTGGCTCAGTCAATCATCACGGCAGTGGAGAACGGGAAGGAAGATATCCTGACAGAGCTTGGATACCTGAGGTCGGACTACACTCGACTGGCCCGCACTCTGGAGCTCTTACAAAGCAGAACCGATGACTCCCTGCGGGACATCAGCTCTCGCTTGGACATGCTCGCGAACGCGCCCCAGCCAAGACCATCGTGTCCTGCCGGCTCTACGCAAAGACCGGATGGACAATGTTACACATGTCCGGCACTTGGCGTCCTCCACACCGACAACAACTGCTACTTCTTGTCTGCCGCCCCTGACCCGCATCGGAGGGCGGAAGAGCGCTGCAGCGAAGGAGGCCTTGGTCATCTGGCCACTATGACTCCAGCGAACAGGGAATTCCTGTATCTGCTCGTTGGCAACCAAGTCAATAGCGACACGGCCTGGATCGGCCTGTCTCGGCCGATGGGTTCAGCCGAGTGGGTCTGGAACGACGGTTCGCCGTACGGACCCTTCACTGACTGGCCCAATGGCCAGGAGCCGGCCCCGAGCCCATTTGATCAGTGCGTCAGTGCGCGTACATTTCAGACAGATAGATGGTTCACGTCGGCATGTACTGACCGATACCCTTATATTTGTCAGGTCGCAGCCACCTCTACGGCAGCTGAACCATGATGAGACGCCACCCGCCACCTAGGACATAAGAACAAAGGAACTATTTCAAGTGACAGACATTTAACATTATCTGTGTAATGTGTATGTTATTCATGCCTATGTAACCTTGGCAGGAATAAACGGTGGTTTCTGGATGGTCTTTTCCTGGAGCATCATGCTTTGCCTGGGGTTAAATTAACTATGCTTCCTGTTCTGTTCAGCGGTTCAGTGGAAACTGTTCAGTGGGAGTTGATACGGTTGTTCATTGTGGAATTGATCTGAAATAGGTGAGCTATCTGAAAAAAACGAATAGACCTTCGAATTTCCGTTGACCAGTTTTCCGCATCGCTTCTGACCAACTGCTGCATCTCCCGCATTTCCGCACTTAGGTAGGTAGGTATACCCAACAGGCCCTGGCCTCGCTCACATATAGGAGGAATGAGTCGGACTGACACCCTGATCCAAGCGACTTTCTGACGCAGGTATATTGGTGTATCGCACATCTCGCTCGCAGTCGGTCACACGGCTCAGTGGGCGCTCACGGTACCGCACATACCGCACCGAACCAGCACTGTACACATTGTGAGCGACTCGGTACGGTGCACATCGTGCTCGATCAGTGCCAGTACGGTACATATCGTTCTCGAATCAGCACGGCACACGCACGATACCAGCCGACTTTGGGCGGAGTTGGCGTTCAACGATATTGCAGGCACAAACCCGGACAGACTCGGCCCACCAATGTGGTGACGTCATCTGAGACGTGCACCCCGGCAGAGTGTACCGTGGCGCGCGGGAGCACCGCGGCAGAGGCTATCAGCACAGTCCGGGGATAGGCACGGCGAGCACAGCGCCGGCAGCACGGCCGGGCCCAACGCCCGGCAAAACGCTGCCCAAATACTCAAAAATAAGACGCCCCAACTGCGATCGGCAACTGAAAAGGCACAGCGCCTCTCGAAGTCACTATACAACTTAAACCGCCTCTTTAGGCGTGTGGTATGATTAAACCTTCAACAAAGTCAAACGTGGCGGCCGCCGCACTCACACACTCCACAGTAATAAAACGGTAGCCACGACCAGCACTCACACACGGCGCCCCGTGGCGCCATCTCTGGACGGCAGCCGACACTCGAGCTTCGCCAGCCGGGCGCTAGGCTCCGTAACACACACCGTCGCCGCGGCGGGAGGCGCCCGTTCCACCGCTCCGCGCGCGCCTTTCACTGCTCTCACCGGGTCTTCTCTCACAGTTCTCACACACCGTGTCCTCACAGCGCGCGCCAGGCGTGCCGGGCAGCCGCGCACCCCTCTCCGCACCGCCGGCCGCCGGTCGCGCGCGGCACCCTCTCAGTTTGTACTCGCCGCTCGGCCGCCCCGGGACGCCGCTACACAGCGTCCGAGGCCGTCGGCAGCTCCAGGATACGCGCGATGAACGTGTCCATGCCCTCGGGCATGTCGGAGGCGCCGGCGATGAAGCCGTGTTGGAGCAGAGTTGGGTAGTTGGGCCGCTCCCGGTAGTCCTTCTGCAGGCTGAAACAGGGACCGGACGCGTCAGAGGGATGGAAACTGGAGAGGCAGACTGAACCAGAGATCACGGCGAGTCACACAAGACCGGGAAAGGTTGGAACACAGAGGGAGAGACAGAAATCATGAAAGAGACTAAATGAGCTTGACACTGCGTCCAAAGTCGCAGTGGAACATCATTTCTTCACCTCTCTGTCTGAATCATTATCTACCAGCCACAACGTCACTACAAACACGGCCACTCATTAATCAGTTACAAACCCCAAAGAGCTAGCTTACCAGAGCGAGACAAACTCCTCGAAGTGGACGGAGAAGTTGAATCCCTCCTTGGGCAGGCGCGGCGCCGGGTCGGCCACCACCTGCTTCAGCTGCTCGAACGGCGTGCCCCAGATTCGGTACGGGAACTTGCCTGTGGGCGGAGGTCGGGTCAGGTCGGGTCAGGTCAGGTCACGTCGGGTCAGCTAAGCAGAATGCCTGCAGATCGTCTTAGCAAGCTATGGCATGGTTCACCAAAACAAAAGGGGATAGAAAACACATCACAGAATATGTGACATCAATGCGAGTGGACCAGCGGCCAGACCAGTCGCTGCCTCGCTTCAGTACATTTTACGATCAAAGTGGAGCGAAGCAATCATAGCGCGTTACCTTAACAACTATGACCAGCAGTTACCGTAACACGATGTGTCCTCGCATTCATAAAAACGACTCCTGAAAATAAGAACTTCAGATACTACATAAGTGAATAGACTATTTTGTGTGACTGTGTGATGTGAATAGGGGACCCGACTGGATAACAGGTATTCAATGACAATGTTGCCCTTATCGAACCCCGGATAATCTCCTTCCATCAGACTGACCAGTGGCGATTTCGATCATGGAGATGCCCAGACTCCAGACGTCGGAGCGGATGTCGTAGCTCTTGTCGCCCATCGGGTTAATTCGCTCCGGAGCCATGTACGGCTTACATCTGTCGGGGGAGGAAAACGGTATGGTAAGGGGCAGTGGCGGTGAAAACACGTGAAGTCAAAACAAACATCACGTTAAGGTGTTCAACTTAACCAGGGGAGCATACATGTCTGAAGGTGAACGGCTCACATAGGTTTATGTTTACCAGGGCCGTGTGATTAATGCAAGGAAACAGATCAAGAAAAGCCATTGTGCAGCGCTACAACAAATACACACAAGTCGTTACGAAAAGAAAAATCAAAAGCCACACAACTCATCTTTTAGCGACAAAGCAAAGCCGGAACGAGCAATGATTTACCACAACCCGTCGGGAGAGAACCAAAAGCTACTCTCTACTTCCCGTTTCATTCCAGTCATCCCAACCGCTCAACTGAACACTCCCAAATAATCCCCCGCCAGCCCACTCTACCCCAACTCTAAGACTTTTTTAAATTCATAAATACAAGCATGCCATTTCACTTGTCAAATTACACACAAGATTATCGTAGTTTGACCTGACAACACACTCTTCACACACTGTGGGGTGGTCATGCCAATTGATAATGTCGGCCAGAGGTCGGATGGGGTCCCCCAGCCAGCTCATCAAACACGTGCAGTCGCTAAACTATCGCACAACACGGGTGAGCTAGTGACGCTCGCTAGCGGACGCTGCTTGAGCAGGGCGAGAGGCACACACGTGGAATACGAATCCCAATTCAAGACTACCATCCTCCCCTCCCCTCCTCTTTCTCCCTCCCCACACTCACCCGGCGTCGATCGTTTTGGCCACGGAGTCGACCAGGTAGCCCGAGATGCCGAAGTCGCACAGTTTGACGCGCCCCTGACGGTCACAGAGTGTGTTGGACGGCTTGACGTCGCGGTGTATGACCTTCAGCTGGGTGTGTAAGTAGTGGAGAGCCGACACCACCTGAGGGACAAATTCAGGTCAGTATGCACTATGCAGGGCTAAGGGTATGTAGTCAGTAAGAGTATGCAGTATGCTAGGAGTAAGTCAGTATGCAGGTCAGTATCTGGCTAAGAGAGAGGCATAAGAATGTGAGGTGTCCTTAGCCGGCACTGAAGATAAAGGCACTGAAGGTGTCCAAGCCGGTCCAAAGCAGGCCGCAGTATGGAACTAAAACGAATGGATTTTAGCAGTCAACCACTAGTTATGTGCATTACTCGTGGCGTGCCACGCTATAATATTAAAGCAAACAGTGTTCAAAGTGCGCTTGCTGTGAGAATTCTAGAGTTTAATCACGTCACATTGACAGTTTATGGAATCTCACCGAGTAGGCGACGCGGGCCAGGATCGGCTCAGGGATTGTCTCGTTGTGCGCAAACACCTTCTGATAGAACTTGTCGAGGCTGATGTCCATCACTTCCATACAGATCCACACGTCACCCTCCTGGAAACAGAGATCCACACGTCACACACAGATCCAAACTTATGTCCATTGCCTCCATACAGATTCACACGTCAGCCTCCTGGAAATACAGATCCACGCGTTAACATCCTGAAAAATATCCACGACATTTACCCGTTATGGACGTGCAAGGCTGATGCACTAAATCAACTAACCTGAACCACGAAAGCTAGTTACCATGAAAAGAACGCAGAAATCCTCTAAACAAAACAACAATAGACACGTGTAAAGTGTTCCTCAAACCCGCATTTCGGACACGTTTCCGTCTCACATACCTGGAAGAGTGCGCCGTAGAACTGAACGGTGTAGTCGCAGTCCAGTGTGCGCATAGAGATGTCCAGGTCCATCAGAGTGCGTTTGGTCTCATCCGAGTTCAGCGTAGCGGGAATACGCTGTGGAACCGGTCATAAATGATCAGAAGTCTACAAAAATGGCCAGTGTTGCTTACAGATCAGTTAGAGACGATCAAAGTCAATTAAAGGTCGGTTAGAGACGGTAAGAGGTCGGTAGCGACGGCCAAGGGTCGGTCAAAGATCGGTAAGACAGTCGTAGGTCGGCTATAGAAGGTAAGAGGTCAATTAAAGACGGTCAGAGTCTATCAGACGGTCGGAAAGACGGTCAGAGGTTGGTAGGAAACAATCAGAGGTTGGTAAAATGTCGGCCAAAGACGGTGACTGTCACAGTCTGAAACATGCAGTGTCTGTGAGATACAGCCACGCAAAGCCACAGTTCGGACTGGAGTGGACATCATCACAGCCGCTTGGAAGCCAGAAGCAAAAACCTAATGCTGGGGAGGCAGCAGGTAGCGGGAAGGGGCAGTCTTATCCATTCCCTTCCTCAACAGAACACGACTAGCGTTGAGCGATGTGCGAGATATCCCATAGATGTGTGCAAATTATTCAGGAGGCGTGGTAGACAGAACTGTGGCTCCAATTGTGATTGTCTGCAGCTTCGTGATTACCCATCTCCTTTGAGGAGCTCGGGTCGCCAGCTATTCTGAGTGTGAAAACAATCATGGGAGAAGAAAAAAGCCCTGTCGAATCCCGTAAAAAAACTTTTACTTTCCGGACATCATTAGCATTCGTTCGTTGAATGCCAAGATAACGCGCGTGTCATCGGGTTAACAGCTCCGTACCCCACGGCAGTGTCAGTGACAAACCCGCCAACTCTGCCAGGTCCCGCAACAAGCACTCGGAAACAGTCGCGAATTTCCTTGAACACAATCACCGAAATACTAATGCACAACGGTGGGCTCAGGAATGTCAGGGGAAAGCACGCTTCAGTGCGTCGCCGTAGCCGTTTCACAACGGTTTACTGTTATTAACGCCTAGATGGCTAGCGATGATACACAAAAACGAGCGTGGACTTTCCCACTGTGTAACAGAATACCGCAGGCGAAATTTTGAAACAAAAAGCCTCTTGCATAGTCCTTGAGTAACTCAACATACAAAGCTGTAGGTAACGTACTTGAGGCTCCTACACATTGTAATATAGGAGGAAGACAATGAAAAACAAGTAACTTACCTCTTTACATTCACTTGGGAGTTGGGAGGCGTAGAAAGCTGACAGAAGGAAAGGACGGGAATGTCTCGTCTGAATGCATCTCCTCTGTCTGGTAGGAATCGAAGCGCGGAGGTCCCTGTCGGTGATGATTCGGTACAGGACTCAGGTTCGTCACAGGATTCCAGGGGTCTGGAAACAGAGACGGAGTCAGTGTGTGACATTTCAGGAGGGGATGTTCGGACAAAATTGGGGCCTGTTCCAGCGCCTCCAGAAACCTCCAGAAAGCTCCAGAAAGCTCTAGAATCCTCCAGAGAGCGTTCCAGCGCCTCCAGAAAGCTCCAGAAAGCTCTCGCCAAAGCTCCAGAAACCTCCAGTAGCCTCCAGAGAGTTGAGAGGTCCAAATTTCTCTGGAGGCTCTGGTCTACAATTATGGCGCACATGTGACAATCACGAATGTAAACAAAGGACTTTTGACTGATTCTTTTACAACTTGAATGTAAAGAAAATTACATTGCTATAATTTTGTTAATCTTTTTTAATAAAATTGAAAATAAATTTTGCGTTTCAGGAGAGGACAATCGTCACACTTTTTGTATATGTGATGCCAATCTCCAGAAATCTCCAGATTGCGTTCCAGCGCCTCCAGTGAAACCTCTGGTAGAGCCTCCAGTCAAGAATATCTACTGGAGGCGCTGGAACAGGCCCTTGGTTTGGGAGTTATAAAACCACTGAAAATGCATATTAAAACACAGCCCATTGAGTCCATGGGATAAAAAACACGATCACACCTCTCAATGATCCAACAACACATCACTTTTTCACCTCGACATCCCACAATCAGTATTACTTTCCCTACCAAAAGCTGGTGATGATGGACCGAGAGTAACCACGTCACACTAAAAGTTAATACTGACCGGTCGTGAGTTAGACTTTGGGGAGCCCGCTTATGGAGGCAATCGACGTCCAGTTGTTTATTGGTTATTTACCGAGATCGGGAGTTCACGGGATAACGGGAGTTCCCAGCGGCAGACAAAGTACATATATGACATCCCCGCGCCCTTCTCCAACCCATTTCCTCACCTCCCTGGCCACACAGTGCTAGTGGGCCCATGGTGATCAATGAAACTGTTACCGTCATGATAGCTAACTCCAAACCCCCAACCGACAACCAATCTTCCTACCTAGGCGTTGAAAGCTGACACCTACCACCCATCTTTCCCCATCTCCCTCTTACCTTGACGGCCATCACGGTGCTGGTGGGCCGGTGGCGCATCCTGTCCACGGTGCCGTACGCGCCGCGGCCCAGGTTCTCCAGCACGTCCATATCCGCCGCCTGCACGTCCAGCGTCTCAGTGCCGATACGCAGCGTGGTGCGCACGTCCAGGTTGCGCGGCGGCGTCCTGTGCCAGAGCGAGGGAGGGAGGTTTGTGATTGTTCTGAGAAACATACCCTGGTTAGTAGACGCACTATACCTAGTGGGACTGATGTGGATGATATGCTGAGTGGATGATATGCTGCAACGAGCGATCGACGAAAAAAGGGACTGAGTAGAGCATTGAAGAAAATTCCATGGAAAAAAAAACTAAAAAAACCTTCAATAGAGGTTATTTTGTTTTCAAATATAACGATGGAGGGTGGAGGCTGGAGGGCTGACCTGACCAGTTGGTGCCTGATGGTGTTCTTATTAGTCCAGGCCAACCCCAGGTCAGGTTGGCTACTCCTCCGGACGACTGACTGGACTGGACTAAATAACTGGACTGGAGAGGTTATTTTGTTCTAAATAAACCATTCCTTGGCCATATCCTACAAAATTGCCCTTTGTGTGTACAAAAATCGTACACTTCTGATGTTCCTGAAAAGGAGCTTAAGTTTTACTCATAAGCTAGTTAGTAGGTAAAACACCATCATAAGGAGCCATAGAGAATAGCATACAAACTACAACTTAACTGCTGACCAGATGTACCATCTATTTCACTTATAGACAATTCAAGCATACTAATTCAATTTGTGATGACAGAAGGCATTTGAATGTGACTGTGCGTTGAGTAATGCACTGTCAAGAGGTATCATTCAGCTTTTACTTCTGTTTTATCCCCCATCATACCAAGATCTGTGATCAGGGCCCTGTCCCATGACCCAATGCAACAGTGCGCCTAGCAAATGAATGTTGGAGCCAGTGTTGGAGCGTCCAAGTTTGTTGATGTTACTATGGAAAGCCAATACAGCAATAACCGTGGTGGGCTGTAGCATCGTGCCATGAAACAGGGGCCTGTGAACCAGAGGACTTACTCACAGCTGGGATGGGGTTGGCGATTCACTCATGGAGATCTTCAGCCCAGGCCGCTTCTTCCTATCGCTGTTTATTTTGCTATTCATCTTGCTGCCTTTCTAGAAGCCTGAAATAGAAAAAAAATACTGCCATTCAGAAACAGAGAGCTATCACTGATTACATTTCACAAATTCATGTTTAGAGTCTTTCTCCCAGCAGCATCAGTATAGGTAATGCCCAATACATAAGAGAAAAGGTAAGCCTTTTGTATAATTATGCTAACAAAGTGAGTACTGTCTATTCAAAGTTGACAAAATGATATCAGCAATGTAATTAAGGGAAATCCCTTGCCTAACATATCTTCAATCACAGATAACAGTACTACTGTTATCTGTGCTTCAATGATTCCTGCCTAACATGATGACACTAGAATAACTGTTCTGTAGCAATTTTCAGTTCTCTAGTTCAATTTTGTAGTCAGTGTGGTACCTAATGCTGCCAGCTATACACAGCCAATTTTTTACCTAGGTAAGTATAGCTGACTACAGAATGATGTTCCATTTTTCACGGGTAATTATTTGCCTGGAGTGGTAGGCCATGCCGCATCACATGGGCTGAGTTCACAAAGTATAGATTTGTCCCAATGCTCACAATTGACATGCTTAATTGCATGATAAACAGCACAACTTAGCGCTCGCCGTTCCGGTCAACTGATAGCTCTAATTTTGAGGAGTGGAACATCATTCTGTAGCCGACTACACATCAAACTTTGACATTTTGAAGTGTTTTATGAAACCTGACACAGATAATACGATTCCAGTCATCAAAAAGTGATTCAAATTCGGTAGGTAGGCATCGAGCATCGCTGCACATTGCACAAGTGAGCCTCTACTGGAGTACTGGCCAGCTGAGAATAAAATATCATCTTGATCTTGGTTTCATTTTTGACTTTCTATTCAATTCTATTGCTAGTCTCACACCATATTTATTAGTGCACTTAAAATCAGACAGACTTAAATAGAAAGATTTGAAAACAGGCATTATTTGAGTCAAATGTTACAAATGAAATGTTAGGTAACCTGCACAAAACTAAAAGTATTCTATCAGAAGATGGTCTCCAGTCAAATTTTGTGGGGAAGGGTTGGCAAACGCAAAATTTTGCGAATTGTAATGTGCGGCAGCGGAAAAACAGCAAGACTTAAAATAGCAAGAGGTATCAGAAGATGGGAGAGAGATAAAAGGGTGATTTACCTTGGTATAGATCTCGGCTGACACAAAATTTATATTTTGAGGAAAATTCAAACAAAATGCGGTAAAAAGGCAAGAAGTATCCAACGCATCCCAATTTTGCAACCACCCGCCCACCCACATTCCATTACAAACAAAACATTTTCGGCGGTGGCAGGCTATTTGCGGCCAACAACTGCGCCACAAACGTTTTTAATGATACGTTCGTCGTCTAGTAAAACTCTAGAAATGTCGCAATGCTTTCGAAGCACAAACCATTTGGTGACTATCAACTAATAACTTTCATTTATTCGGATCGATGTTATAATTCAGGCAGTTAGAGACCAGAACAGACAACAAAGTAATTCGTTCGATTGTAACACAGGATCAGTTTATCCTGGGAAGGGTAGAAGCTCACAGTGCTAAATGCTTAGCATTTACCGCAATGCCGGTCTCTAGATTGAGATTGTAGGAAAAATTGCGCTTGACTTGACAGTACTTAAATCTGATGAATCATGTTCAACATGTTGAAACGAAGCATCTAAAAATAGCATTACAACATTGCGCAATGCATCACGAGTCACGACTCGTCTGTTTCAAACTGGGATCCTTCCATATTCGTCGAATGATAGATTTCAGAGAAAAATGCGCAAAAAGTCACTAGACGTCCTATCCAGAGGTATTATCATGGGGGAGAGCGATCTTCGATGACTACTTTGCAATTAGAATCGTGATATGTGTACGGCTGAAGAACAAATTGCATCAATCTGATCCCACTCTCGGTAAAAGCATCAGGTGCCCTCTGCTTGGCTCTATCGGCCTGGTAGCAGTCAAACAAAGACCATGGTCTCATCCTGCATTTCTGAGGTGCGACTCCCAGCGCTATGATTTATTTTTGCATGAGCAAACCGTTATAAAGCTGTTAACCTCACATCCGCGTTACATTTCCAGCCAGTTGCCATTTACACAATGAAGCGGGGAGCCCAGCGGTGCCTGCGTGTTCTTTTTTCCAACCAAAGGAAGGCGCTGTACCCGAAGATGCTTCTTTGTAACCAAACCAAACAAAAAAACTAACCTAACCTAACCTGACCTAACCTACAACCTACAAACCTACAACCTAACCTACAAACCTACAACCTACAACCTAACCTACAACGCGCCAAAAATTTCGGCCGGCAGCGGGATTCGAACCCTTGTTATCAAACCATGAGGCGAGTACGCTAACACCACTACACCACTCAGCCAGCTGACCGGCTCGAGGTGTAAGTCACTTTTCAATGACGCAATGGGATATTCTCCGTATAGCGCCTTCCTTTGGGTGGAAAAAGAATTACGCGCGGTGCCTAGATGAGCAACAAGTCACTCCACAAAAAACCCCGACGTGTACAAATGTTTATTATGACGCATCTCCGTCTATATTTTTGTCACACAGAAATGAACCACCGACGCCACACCTACCAGGTGACGTAATCGCACCAGCACCAATCAGCACGCGGCAGCCTGCGCGCATGCGCAGCTGGGCTGCCGGCGTCGAGCTCGCGTGGGCCGAGCCGCGCAGACGCTCGCTACAGTACAGTTCACACTCTACACGCACGAGGTACACAATGTACATCAAAAAGGGGGTCGGGTACCACCAACATGGCGTCCCATTATCAGGGGGGGAGGGGTCGGCGAGCCTCCCACCGCACGTCGCCCTCGGTCACACGCCCGGATCGGCGGCGGCGCCGGAGACCGCGGCGGGCGTCCACTCGGGCAGAGGCCGCGGCATCAGCCGACCGCAGCTTCACAAGTGGAGCCGACGTACAAATAGTAATGTCAACTAAAGCGCTCTTCTCGCAGCGTACACAAAGTCCATTGGTTGATCGTCAGCCGGGACGCCGGACACCAATCGAACGCCAGTTCGGACGCCGCAGTCGAATACGACACCACAGGCGCGCAGCGCAGACAGCGGGTCGGTGCCGCTCTCCGGGCGGCCGGCGAAAACCATCCTGTGTGCGAACACGGCGGCGACGACGAGCGACGCCGCGCCGGGTCCATTCGTGGCGCGCGCGCGCGCCAGAGATCTGCTGCCGGCGGACTGCGCGCTCCGCCGCCGGCGCCGTCCAGAGGTAAATAGTAGGACACAGGTCAAGTCCGGCGCACCGCGCGGCCAGCGTGCAAAGCGTGAGGTGTTGAGCAAACTGGTGAAGAGGCGCGGCGTGCCACCTATGGAGATCAGGCAGGCGCGCCCGCCGCTGAGACACTGCTGCCCTCCGGCGGCGGCCGTGGCCACTGCAGCTTCGCAGGGCGGCCGCCAGGCGGCGGCTGTCGCGGCGAAGGTGGCGAGTAGGTGGCGCTGGCGGCAGGCGGCCGGCGCCCTGCCTTATCTGCGCGATTCCACCTGCATTGGCTGGCTGCAGGCGCGCGGAGACGCGCCAGGCGAGAAGTGATTGGCCGGAGAGAACGCGGCGCCGCTGTGATTGGCTGGCGAGCCATACATCGTGCTGTGATTGGCTGGAGAGCCGTACATCGTGCTGTGATTGGCCGGTGAGAAGGCGGCTCCGGCGGGCGAGCCGAACGGCGCACCGTGCGGCGGCGGCGGAGGCGGCATCATGCTCGACACGGGCGATGTAGACATGTGCGCTGAAACAGACAGAAACGGGAGTTAGTGGCGAGCGGGTCAGGGTCGGCAATGACACTGGTGATTTAGGTGAATCGGCCTGGCTACTCTACGATAAAAATGACGCCGAAAGACAATAGGTAATGCAGGGGGAGCATGGTTTGGTCACACAATGATTCAAATCGTATATTCGATGAGACTAGCTTGCTTACATTATAGGTTGCAGCTTACTTAGTACGTCAAACACCAATATGATGCAAATGAAAGCCATCAGTAGCTGGGAATGGGTCAAACTCATTATCATTATAAGTCACCGGCTCAGTTTGTCGGTTATAGATAAATGCCTACAAGTCTGGCTATCAGCGATTCAAGGTCCTTCCCTAATTTGTCTCTCACCCGAGTGTCACATTCCATTTGTCAACCAAGACTAGGTCATATCCCAGTTTGAGCTATCACAAAAGTGGTCCACCTCAGGTTTTCTCTAGCCGGGCTGGTGCCTTCCCAAGTTGTTCCTCGCCCGGGTAGTCCTATATTAGTCCGCTGCCCATCACGCCCGAATCGTCCATCGGTCCCTCACTGAAACGGACCACCCCCAGCTTATGTCTCACCTGACGGGCTGGTTCCCAGTTTGTCGCTGGTGGACATCTTTCCGAAGGCCATCAGGGCGTCGGGGAAGTTGGGCGGCGTGGCGGGCGTGTTGGCTGGCGTCTGGAGCTGAACACACACAGGAGAGACGAATGTCAGCGGGATGGGTCTAACATCATCTCAGCGTGGGCGACTACAGTGGGCAAACGTGTTGGGGTAGGGGGGGGGGGGGCGATTTTGTGGGGTTCATCATATGTGACATACGCCGACACACATCGTTATATTGGCGATGAAAAGACGATAGGTAATAAGATGGCGATAGTAAGACGCGACAGATAAGTCATTGTTACGCATGCCAATGAAAAATGACATTCTGACATTCATTCTAGCCAATTCACACACTTCGCCTCGGCATTGTGTGCCATAACTACTAGGGTGTTTATAATAGTGAAGTGATAAGAGTAGACAAAAAACGTGTTTAATGTTTATCACATCACTTTCATCAGCCGACAATTCTCGCGCCAATAACACTTCGAAGAGGAACCATCAAAACACATGGGGCCCGACGAGGCACCAAGGAAGACATGACACGAAACAGAGCGCCCGGGACGTTCCCGACTTCTGGAGAGTTCCAGACGGGTCCATTCCAGCCAAAGGCAGGACTCGAGTCATGTTGTGCAGCTGTGGTGATAGAACTACTAGACGGGGCTTACTGAGACCCTCCTGTCGCATTAGCAAAAGAAGATTTGATGACACGACACACCCTTGATTGAAGCAAAAGCGCTTCAGTTACACGGCTCACATCGTTTTCAATATTATCCGTACTAGCTTCCTCCCCGTCCTACAGATGGCAGCAGCTGCCTCTCACCCACTGCAGTTTCCCCACCCTCCGGTAGATGTCAGGCACAGCCCCGTCTGCCTCGAGTCGGCCATTCACCGCCGCATTGGACACCACAAAAACGGCCTCGTACCGCGGCCGGCCGGCCGGGTAAACAAGCCGGCCAGGGTAGCCGGAAACTGGCGCGCGAGACGCCCCCGCCGCGCCGGCCTCGGCAGGGCGGTGCACCTACCCCGCAGCCGCCGACCGGCGAGGCGGGGGCGGCAGGAGTCAGGTTAGATGACGTGGGTTAGGTGTGCGTCATCGCGAGCCGTCCCCAGAAGCCGACCACACCCGGATAGCTCGGAATTCATAATGGGGAGTACTGTTTCAACACAGCCACTATTCATAACTGCCATCGGGTGTATTTCGGTATTGATTGTTCGTCCATATGACGCAGGAACTACAGTTAGCTGCACCTGCGCATCAATCCAGACCCGGACGTGTAAAATCGCCCACACTAACTGAGCTTAGCACACCAACTGCGTAGTTTTCTCTCACTGTCACGAAGCTCCCCGGCGGCGTATTCCGGCAGGAGCGACTCACTGTACCGACAGCGCAGGCATTACGTAAGCAGAACACAGGAAAACGTCGCAGTCGACTACCATGAGCACTCAGAGCAGTCATAACCCCACCGGGTCACGACGCACCGGTGGTAGTGCGCGGTCCCTTGCGGCCAAAAGGTCATGTATGTGGTGACCCTGAGACAAAAGACCGTTAGACGCGGTGCCTGCAACGCATCGGCCGTCCCCTAGGACGTCCGATCAGTATCCAATCGATGCAGTCTGACAAAAACACATCAATCGTATTGTCCACCAGGCAGTGGTTCAATACAGACCAAAACACCACAACACCGCGAGCCAAGAAAGAATGCTGGTGGACCCCGTCATATAGGATTGGTCATGGGGCAAACCGGGCTAGGACAAGCAGACACGAGTTCCTCCACCTCCCCCGGATAGCTTCCAAGGTCAGTCGAGCCGGCCTGGCACGGTCCACAGCCGGAGCTGAGCGGATGTGACCGAAGGGACTGAGCCAGACAGTCGCCACAGCTCAGCGCACGCAACCGGCAAGCGCCGACAGAGCTTCCCAGACAGAAACTTCTCGAAGGTCATCCGTCCACGTGGCATCATGT